ATTGGAGCTGCCGAGAGACAGAGCATGCGGGACGATGAACTGGCTGAACAGGGATGACGGTCAGGAGAGACAAGGAGCAGTGGCGTGACTGCTGATGAAGAATATAGGTCACAAGTAGGAAGGCACAAGCAGAGCGTAGTGCATGCCGGGCATGACTGGACTGACATTTAGCGTTCCCAAACGTTTGACTGACGACGACGACGCATGACGAGACTGTCTCGGAGCTTGGGATGCTCGAACTGCTGGCTAGAGGAGGGGAGGGTTCTTTCCTAATTCAACACTCGTAGACACAACAGCTGCCACCATGTGTTTGCCTGTAGCCACGCAGGAGTCCATTGTGGGTCAAAAGAAAGACTGATATAATTACAACGAGTTTGCGTATAATAGATGAGAGAGAAGCAACACAGAGAGGGACAAAACGGCGACAAACACTACACACAACAGTTGACAAAGAAAAAGAAAACAAACACCCAGATGAGTCAATCGATGGCTGTTCTGGTGAACATTCTCTAGCCAGTATCAAATCAAAGGTTATCAGCTTCTCGATAATCTTGCCCGGCGATGGTACTACAGTAAAAAGTGTGACTGTGCGAGAGATGAAAATTCTATTTATCAATAGGGCCTGTTCACCAAGCGAGCAGAGATTCCAGGTGTCAAGGACTCCAAGATTTTCCTGGACCGTGATGGAGAGGAATTCTACCGGACTCATGTCAAAGTACAGAATGAGCCATCCATGAAGCCTGTTGCCCCATCGCTCCAGCCCAGTCTGCCAGCTGTACTGTGGAGACTTTTAGTCGTTTTGGGTAAGAGATAGATCAGCAGGGCAGCTATTCTGTGTACAACATGGCTCAGTACACATAGAAAGGAGTTTTTTCCTCCATTTCTGTTTTTTTCCCTCCCACATGCGTGCCTTTTCCAGGAATATTCCGACGCGCAACATATACTTCATCCGCATCATCGAAATTGTTGCAGTTTGAATAGTGACTTGTCACTTGTTACTGACAACTCCATAAGCTAAACCATACAAAAATTATTGCACATGATGATAGTCTGAAGTCAAGAGTAACGTTCCAGGACAGTTAGGCTGAGAGTTTAACACGGAGATGAAGGAGTCGTTGTCGCCGATGTAAATTGCCGAAAATACATCCTTTCGCAAATTTTCCAGGAAGGTTGTAAGTTGGTCGTGCCTTATGTCAAATGCTTTGACTTTCTCCACAGGACAGCAGCTGCTATGCTTGTCGTCTGCTAGCTCTGGATGAATTCTACTTCACCACCAACACAGTAAGAATACACGATCGTTGCGAGGTCGGTTGAGTACCGTCGACGGAATCACCTCGAGCTTATAATGAACTTTTTTTTAGCCGTGGGATGCCCATTCAATTTATCTGCTTGGTCACTGCTCATGCAGGTAAGTGTACTATCACGTCGAACGCGCACCCTTTTTCAGCATCACTGGTAGATTCACTCAGTATCTGCACATGCATCACTAGCTCTACACTACTGTGTACACGCAGAGTCTACACGACCCTTGCAGGTACAGTACTGACTGTCTCAGCATTCCTTGCATACATTAGTTTGCTGATCCCCCTCGATGTTTCTACAAGCGCTGCGGCTTGTTCTACGAAGTCATTCTCACTCCAGCTCAGGTAAAACAGTGATCAGTTTTGAGTGAATGGCTATACTAGTAAGCATGAGAAATGTGCAGATTGCAATGCCTGACTGATCTTAGCGAGTAGAAAGTACCATCGCAGGAACATCAGCGAAGACATTGCGTCTAGTTCAAAATTTTCAGTTTCCAGCGACAGAAAATGGAACTTTGCTGTCACCCTATACTGATGACTATCGTCTATGTCCGATTCCTTAACTGTGGTACAACTGCTGGTGATTATATACCCCGTTTTATTTCAAAAGTCAAACTGCGACGCTTAGGAGGTAATTAACTTGATGTGACTTTTTTCTCATTTTTTCTAAAACAAAGCCAAGTTCGCGTACATTTTCGCAATTAACGCATCCTGTTCAGAAGACATTTCACATGAGGTATCAAGCGCTTTTCTTCCCTTTCTCTCCAGGATTACACAGGGAATGGCTGAAATAAAAATACTACAACATATAGCGAAAATGTCCTGAGATATAACTCTCGTGACAGGGTTGAGTTCTCAGAAGGAGATATAATGTAACAACAACAGCGAAGTGAAGAAATTATGTAGCATTATTCACACATCGATGAGGTATAGCATCAAACAATTGTACAGACAACACATTTTCTTTCTGGAAACAAGGCTCAGGATAAAACTTAAGTTTGTAGAACGCTTCTAACACAGCCGAATGCAATGGACCTCTACCACGTGACAGTACTGACAAAACGTCATTACAGTACAACTCCCGACAATTAGCATGCGTGGACAGATGGCTTTTGATAGATGAAGTACCACTCTGGGCTTCTTTCTTTGTTGTCCCCTCCCGTGTCCTGTCATCTTTCCTCTGCGTGACATCACAGTACCCATCTCATGGCCTGGTGACGCTCATTGTCCCTTCAGCTGCATCTCCTCCAGTATTGTTTTTCATGGAGCTTCTCACTCTAGCTTCTCTAGTCTCAAAGTTCTGGTTTAATTACGCGGTCTTCCACGTTGTCTAACATCCACTTTTGTTATCACTTCTATTGTCATTGCAAGTCGGTCGTCTCCAGTACGTCTTCACACTTGGCTTAGTGTCGCAACGTTCTCCATTTGTTAGTGTTTGTCTTCGTTTAACATGTATATTACACCGTATGTCGTAATTGGACACTGCTCGATTTTTCTTACCTTGTGCGTTTCACTATTTGTAACGTGGCTCCTCTGCTTCAGTTTCCGATCTATCTCTCTGGCAGGGGCAGCCACCACCTGTCTGGTGGGTGCCAGCATCCTCCGGCAGTTGCGCTGGGTCTCTACGATACATTCTTGTTCTTCGATAATTAGAAATCTGCCTTTCAAGTTCTTCGCTGTTTGAATTATTATTTATTTGTGCTGTTTCTTGCGGCACTCGCTTTTGTGTAGATTTGACCTTTTTTGCATGTCCGCGTGAGTACAGATGACATCATGCATTATTTTCGGTCACATGTTTTGCTTTGCGCGTGTCGTTCAAGATGTTTGAACTGCGCCCGCTGGCCGATTTTCTTTGCTTGCTGTTTTCTTTGCCAATCAAGCGAGGGGACGCTACGGTGTCATCCTCCTTGGCTGTGTGTCCGGTACGGGGCCGGGTACGTGCGTCCCCAGCTTTCCGTTCTTTGTTCTTTTTGAGTTAGATTCTTCAATGGTGCTTTCAGAACATATTTGGTAATACAGTCTTCTAAATAGATAGATGCCTCCAATGGTTGTGTCTAATGTCAGTGTGGGTTTGCGAGGGAACCGGTGAAACATATGGTCCTTCGAGCCGGTTCCGGCAGGTTTCGACTGGTAGTGTCAGCGATGGTAATGGCGTTTCCGCCACCACCAGAGTTTGTGACTAGTAGTTTTACGCCACGCCATTATGGTACGAGCGTGGGTGAAACTCCTGTTGAGAAACTTGAGGACCGCTGGAAAGACTTGATTCGTCGCAGAACAAACCTTCGTAGACGCCGCACGCGGATTAGTAACCGCTTGCGAAAACTGATTGCTTGCTCGTCGTCGTCGCGCCGATATTTGCAGCCTGATGTCCGTGAATTGGAATTTGTACGGTCAGAGCTGAATTTTGGTTTTAGAAATTATGCGCAGTATGTTGGAATCCCAAGAGAGTGAACAATTGCTGAATGAGTTGGATGAGTGGGAGGCGATGTTTGATAAGGAGAGTGTTGGAGTGACGGCTGCTGCTGCTGAGGCGATTTTGGATTCGCCTGTTGAGTGGCCAAGTGGCATCAGGCCAACAAGCAGCAGTCGCAGAACAGGTTACCCCTGTGCCACCATTTACACCACAGCACATGCGGCCTGTGCCACCGATCCCAGCACCACACACGGCCGACACCACCACCGAAGCAACGAAGTCTGAGCAGCAGAGCAACATTAGTTGCCTATAGTGCTCCAATGAGTAGACTTTCTGAGTGGTCTCTTCATCAGGAACCTGCTGTGAAGCCCCATGTGCATGATTAGCTTGTCAGTATGCAACGCCCGCATGGGGTCAGTGCTTTACACCACTTGAAGCCGCTGGAGCTGCCCAAGTTTAGCGGAAACGCGCAACAGTTTGTGCGGTGGAGTCAATCGTTCAAGCGGCTGGTGGATGAGGATCGCTACGTATCCGACGATTATAAGCTGGCTAGGCTAAAGGAGGCGCTCCAAGGAAGCTCGGCTGAGGACATTGTGGCCCAGATGTTTCACGGGCCAGGCGCATACGCTGCTGCTTGGGCAGAACTTGACCAATGGTATGGGGGAGAAGACCGCCACCTGGCACTACAGGAGAAGGCAATCCTGAACGATCCCAGAATCGCAGACCGTGATTCAGAAGCCCTGCGGAAATTTGCGGTCAAACTCAGAAATGTGCTCAGGAACCTGGACTTGGCTGGAGGGAGCTATTTCTAAGTGCGCTAGAGAAGCTACCCAGAAGTGTAGTTATACGATTTTACGAACCACATCCAGACAGCAAATGCAACGCAACCACATTGTCGTTCTGGCTGGGAAAACGGGTCCAGAACGCGAGATGATGACATCTTGGCGACAGTCGGCAGAGAGAAGTTGAACAAGACACCTCCTGCGGTCCCGCCAAAACCTAGGTCATCTGCTGTGTATGCTGTGGAGTTCAGTACTCAGCAGTGTGCCAACTTCAGCAAGAGCCATGCCACAGCAGAGTGTCCGGAATTCAGGGCGCTGACAACCAAGCGCCGCTGGGACCTGGTCAAGCGTGCAAAGCTGTGTAGCTGTTGTTTGGAGCATGGACACTGGGCGCGTGAGTGCCAGGAGCTGGAACGTTCTCACTGTGGCGAGAGGCACCACTCACTTCTGCACTACAGCAAGTCAGTGCAGCCACAATAAGCTGCTGCGCAGAATCCCGCTACGATGCGGTCAGCACCTCCGGCACCTCGGCAGGAAAGTTCTCACCATGCTAGTGTAAGCGTGCCGCAGACTACCGCTTTCGCTACCGTGCCAGTGAAGATTATTGGCCCAACTGGCAAGTCGGCAATCTGTACGGCCATGCTGGACTCAAGCTCGACTGCAAGCTTCATACGGGAGGATGTAGCCCATGAGTTGGACATGGCAGGTGAAGTTCACATGTTGAACACATCCACGACTGGTGCGCAGCATACCTCCAGCTATCGGGAACTGGTCAAGGTGCAGATGGAATCCATTGATGGAACAGTGTCATACCCGCTCAAGGCATGCGTATATGATCATGTGACCAAGAAGACGCAGGTCGCGGACTGGAGCCGGTACACATCCAGCTATGAGCATCTGAAGTTCATAGACTTTCCCGAAATCTCCAGCACCACGGTCGACCTCCTGATTGGTCTAGACGTCATTGATGCCCACGCATCACTCGCGGAGTACAGAAGCAGCAGTGGTGGACCAATTGCCCGCAAAACGCCACTGGGATGGGTGTGTATGGGCCCAACGCCCAGTGCACCCAGTGATGACGAGTTGTCCGTCAACTATGTGCATGCTTTATACGGCGAATGCAGCATAGACAGCCTGGTCCAGAATTTCTGGAATCTGGAGGCAGTCGGTATGAAGCACGAAGGCACCTACATCACCTCTGCAGAGAAGCTGGCTGAGGAGATCTTTGAGAAATCCATCAGCTTCCATGATCAGCGAGTCACCATGGCAGTCCCATGGATCCACAGCAACGGCGAGCCTGGTGTCACCGCTAATCGCGCCATGGCAGACCATCGCCTGTGCATGCTAGGGAAATCACTGGACAAGCGTCCAGAGCTGAAGGCAGCATACGGCAAAGTCATATGTAGCCACATTGACAAAGGCAACGTGCGCGCAGTGTCGGCAGCAGAGGTTGAGGCAGATGGTGACGACCAGTGGCTCCTGCCGCATTTCGCCCTTGTACGAGATGACAAGGCCACCACGAAGGTACGTGTCATCTTTGATGCTGCTGCCAAGTATGACGGCACGTCGATCAATGAGTGCATGTACGCTCGACCCGCTCTGCAGAATGACCTAGTGAAAGTGCTTCTGCGGTTCCGCAAGGAGCCAGTGATGCTCACGGCGGACATTACCGAGATGTTCCTGCAAGTCGTGCTGGCTGAGCAAGACCGCCGATATCATCGCTTTGTGTGGGACTCAAGCGTATACGAGTTCGAGGGGTTGGTGTTCGGCATCAAGGCGTCTCCGTACCTGGCATGCAAGGCGCTACAAGTGGTGTGCCGCGAGACAGCCGACAAGTATGACCCTGCCATGTTGCAGATCGTTGACCGAGACATGTATGTGGATGATCTGCTGCACTCTGCTGTCTCCGTACCGGAAGCCATCCGCACACAGCAGACAGTACAGGACATCCTTGAGCAGGGCAGCTTCCACCTCCGCAAGTGGCTCAGCAATAGCTCGGAGGTGATGGACGGCGTACTGGAAGCTGACAGCTCACCGCAGCTCCTAGCTAGCATCAATGATCATGATAACTGTGTGCTACCATCAGTCAAGACGCTAGGCGTGATGTGGTCGGCAGAGGATGATACCTTCGCCTTCCAGTTCAAGCCGCCTGCCACAGAGAAGCTGACCAAGCCAGCCGTGCTGAGTAAGATGGCATCTATATTCGACCCACGCGGACAACTAGCTCCCTTCACCATTCGCTCTCGTGTCATGTTCCAGGAGCTGTGCATCCTCGGCGTGGGCTGGGATGATCCACTAGATGCTGACCACACGCGGAGATGGACATCCTCGTTTAGCGAGCTGGGAGATCTGGCGCGGGTCCGTGCGCCGCGCTGCTTCAAGTGTCCGGGTCGCGAGTCGTCTGTCGCTACATTGTCGCTGCACGTGCTCACGGATGCTTCAGATGCCGCCTACACCGCTAATGTGTACGTCCGTGCTGAGTACCCAGATGGCAATGTGCGAGTGACGCTACCACTCGCCAAGGCGCGTCCATGTCCCATTAAAGAAGATGTCGATCCCGAAGCTGGAGCTGAAGGGTGCTATGCTTGGTGTTTGCCTGGCCCATACAGTGAATGACGGGCTAGATCTGCCGAAGGCTGATGCCACCTACTGGTCCGACTCGATGAACGTGCTTCACTGGGTGAGAGCACATTGCAGAAAGTTTAAAGTCGACGTGGGCAACCGGATAGCTGAAGTACAAGAGTATTTAGCTGGCGACCAGTGGAAACAAGTTCCTGGAAAGCTGAACCCAGCCGACACGGGCACCAGAGGCTTGACAGCAGCCAAGCTAGCCAGTGATTCAGTATGGTGCAGGGGCCCCGAGTTCCTCGTCCAGCAGCACAATCAGTGGCCTTCTCGTCAGATAACCGTGCCAAAAGAGTTGCCCGGAATGGTAAAGCGAGCGCAAGTGATGGCGCTCGCTGTGCAGCAAGTTTCAGCGGAGGTGTTTCTTCTCCACCCCGACAACTACTCGTCATGGAAACGACTAGTAAGATTGTCGTCGACGTCATGCTAGCACGAGAGGGGATCCGGAAGCAGCAAGTACAGCAGTCGACTCTGTGGAGCTGAAGTCTGAGGAGCTCCAGCAAGCCGAATGTCACTGGTATGCGATTCCACAAGCAGAGAGCTATCCCGCTTCGTATCGGCAGCTGACGTCACGGAAGTCCCTTGCAGCGAATGACTCGCTGCTAAGGCTGAATCCAGTGCTCCACAAGGACTACCCGTGTGTGCTACGCTTTGGAGGTCGTCTGAAGACTGCCAGCCACTTGCCTGAGCATACCCGGCATCCGATAATCTTGCCCCAGCACCATCGGGTTACTCAGCTGATAGTCAACGCCAAAGATCGCAAGTGTGATCACAGTGTGGGCCCAAACCACCTCTTGGCAAACCTGATGCTGCGGTTTTGGATCATCCGTGGCAAGGTTGTCACATGATCTCACCGTGCACACTGCGTGCTCTGGAAGAAGAAGTGGGCCACTGTGGCTTGGCAGCAGATAGCACCGCTCCTGCTATTCCGAACAGATCCACGGTACCGAGCATTTTCAAGAGTGGGAGTTGACTATGCCTGTCCGTTCCGGACAAAACAAGGACTTGGCAAGACCCAGCTCAAGAGGTACCTCTGTGCCTTCTCTTGTTCGCAATTCTGAGCCTGTCATTTCTAGATGGCGTATGGCCTGGACACCGAGTCGTTTCTGCTAGCATTCACCCGTTTCTGCAAGGGCAGAGGGACGAACTTTGTCGGTGCAGAGCGCGAGCTAAGAGAAGCCGATCAAGCGCTAGGTTCTAATGAAGTGGCCACAAGTATGGCCAGCCAAGGAGTTCACTGCCGCTTCAATCCACCTCTCGCTCCGCACTTTGGCGGCGTATTTAAGTGTGTGGTCAAGGCAAAAAAGCGCGCAATGATGGCAACTCTGTCCCAGGCCAATCTCACTGATGAGGAACTTGTAACTGCCATGGTGAGTGCGGTAGGCCTATTCAACTCGCGCCCGTTGACCGCTGTCCGGATTGACGTGGATGAAGCCGCACCGCTAACACCGATGCACTTCCTAGATGGACAGTGTGAGCTGACTCTGCCACTCGAAGAAGTCGCTGAGTTGCACCCACAGCATCGTTGGCGGCTCCTCCAGCAGCTCCTACGCGAGGTATGGCGGCGATGGCTTCGAGAAATAGTGCCTCGGCTGAATGTGCTTCAGCAATGGTCTCGATGCAGCCGCAACATCAAGCCCAGTAACATCGTCCTCTGCGTTGTGGCTTGTGGCTTGCCGCCAGTGACTATCCAGATATGTTGATTTTATTGTATGCTTTTTCTCATAGGTTTGACAGATTGGTGCCGTAGTCTACTCCAGTTGGCTCTGCTCGAGCTTTGCTGCGGTCGTGAATGAAATTACTTGTTTCTGTACTCCAAGCATCCTCTGTAATATAATGGATATTGTCTCTCCCTTTCTCTTCCTCCGGCACGCACCAAATAATTCGGTAACGAGAGTAGCGCCGCCAACCATGCCCGATTTGTAGAGTGTGGTATAAAGTACTTTCTTAACTGTATCTGGTCAAGCGTAGTTGTACAATCGAATATGCTCCAGCTTGTAGTAATTGTGCAATTTTGTTACACCTCTACAGGCAATGTTTGAAATTCCAATACTTTTGTGGGGTAGGGTACTACACTAGTTCCGCTTCTAGTATATCCATTGTACAGCATCGGTGCAATATTTGTGCGGCTGTGGATGAATCTACAAACTCGTGTAAGCAAAGCTATCTTTGTGAACGCGCGTATGGCACACCGTGTGCTGGTGGCATAACTGTGTTTCGGAATAAGTGTGCTCCACATACTGTGCGGGCGGACATGTCCTGTTGTATCTGTCTCACTGGATGAACACATCATGCGTTGTGCTACCCCAGAACTGTCCTACTTGATGAGGACAGTGTGCGCTGAGTGTCAGTGTTGATTCCTGGTGTAACTGTCTGAATCGACGAACACATTATGCGCTGTGCAATATCATTATGAGTTCCAATAGAACTGTCTCACCGAAGGAGTGCATTGGGAGCTGTGCGACGTCCGACGAATCCCGGTATGTCTGACTGGAAGAGCGCATTGTGCGCTGCGAGGTGACAGTGGATTCCCAGTATAAATGTCTTACTGGAAGAGTGCATTGTGCACTGCGAGATGACTGCGGATTCCCAGTATAACTGTCTTACTGGAAGAGTGCATTGTGTGCTGCGAGATGACTGCGGATTCCCAGTATAACTGTCTTACTGGAAGAGTGCATTGTGCACTGCGAGATGACGGAGGATTCCCAGTATAAATGTCTTACTGGAAGAGTGCATTGTGCACTGCGAGATGATGGAGGATTCCCAGTATAACTGTCTTACTGGAAGAGTGCATTGTGTGCTGCGAGATGACTGCGGATTCCCAGTATAACTGTCTTACTGGAAGAGTGCATTGCGCACTGTCCAATGCCAGACGACCCCTGTAGATCTGTCGCCCGGGATGATTGCGTTCTACACTGTGTGACGCCAGATGAGTGCCCAAATAACTGTCTCATTGGATGAGCGCCTCATGCACCAATCAATGTAAGGCACGTCCAGCCCGGCAGTGTCCGCCACCTCCCAATATTAATGTCTTACTAGTTGACGTATTGTGCAATGTACAATGTCAGTTCAGTCTCTGTACGATTGTTTCAACGAATGAGTGCATTATGCCACGTACAATGTTGGGTTGAGTCCCAGTAGAATGGTCTTACCGGCGTACGTATTGTTTACCGAGAGTTATATGTTGAGTTCCAGTATCAGTATGTCTCATTAGAGGAGTGCTTTGCATACAGTGTGGGGTCAGCTGTGTCCTAGTCAACATGTCTTACTGGAGGAGTTCATTCCAGTATGTCTTATTCGCTCATCCGATTGTGTACTATACGATGTCAGATGAGTCCCAGTCTAACAGTCTTTATGGTTGCATTGGGTACTGTGTAATGTCCGCCACCTCCCAATATCAATGTCTTACTACATGTAGTTGACGTATTGTGCAATATGCGATGTCAGTTGAGTCTGTATGAGCGTCTCGATGAATGAATGCGTTCGCCATGTACCAGGTTGGACGGGTCCCAGTAGAATGATCTTACCGGCTATACGTTTCGGTCACCAAGAGTAAAATATTGAGTTCCAGTATCATTATCTGACCTATTGGAGGAGTGTCTTGCATACTGTGTGGTGTCAGCTGTATCCCAGTAAAAATGTCTTACTGGAGGAGTTCATTCTATACTGTGTGAAGTCAAATTTTGTCCACTGTACTAGTCAGATTGGACATGTGTTACGTGCACTTTGCAAAACAGATCAGACCTAACTTACTGGGTTCTTGCATGGGCTCTGTGTGTTCTGTGTGAGGCCTGGCGGCACTGTGTGAATATTCCTGGATTAATTCCAACAATGTTATGCTGTGAACTTAATCATGCCGTCCCTATCGGTTTTCACTTGTCCTGAGTCTGTTTGTGGTACAACCCTGTACATGATTCTTGCATCCAGATGACTTACTCTGCTGTTTTGTGTGCTTTTCCTGCTTGTTCTTTCTCCTTTCTCTTCTCTACTCCCTGCTTTAGAGTACTTCAGGGGTTGGCTATGGGAGGATTGATTCTGTTCAGCCCAAACTGAACCGATATATCTGCTATAATATTATGTGATCTTTATAGTCGCCACTTGCTGTTCAGTCAGGTTTGAGAATCAGATGCCTTGTTCATGTGCACTGCGTGGACGTATCACTATCACCTACCTGTTATTACAGTACGGCCAGCACTGCTCAGCTCTTCACCGAAGCAGCCACTATCATTCGATATGGTCAAGTCCTGGCTGGCCAGTTCCTGACACCTGAACTACTATAGACACCCTACATACTGTCACACTCAATTTGGTGAGTTGTTCCTCATCACTGAACTGGGACGTACGGCACCAGATCAGGGTGCTAGCTCCTTGGACTATGAGCAACTTTGTGTACATCATAGCCTACTCGTTTTTGTCATGTATTCTCTCTGTCAGTCTTCCTGTTATGTTTGCATCTCTCTGCCTTCTTCCTCGTTGTCGCCGCGCTTTGCTTTTTCTGAGTCACATCTGGCTGCGGTGCTGTGTACGTGATGTGATAAGGCGCGCATGCGCGCCTGGGCTCGTGGCTGGTTTTGCATGCTTGCTGTGCTGGACTAGGTCCGAGAATGTGAGCTCTCTTTTCCTTGTCTTTCTGTTCCTTGATTATTACAATAACTGTACGAACCTGAGTAATGCTGTGTGTGGGCCCTTAGGGCCAGACATAACAGTTGGCGACGAAGATGGCAGGACGCAACTCCAGATTAGAAATTTTCGAAACTGGGGATTTTGACGAGTATGCAGAGAGACTCAATTTTCATTTTCTGGCTAATGACATTGGCCAAGTTGCAGACGATGCAACCGAGACAGTACAGACAGCGGCAGACAAGAAAAAGTGCGCCGTGCTGATTAGTCAACTATCGGGTCAGGTTTATTCCACACTGAAGAATTTGTGCCTCCCAGATAAACCAGGGCAGAAGAAGTTCGAAGAGTTGCTGAAGCTCCTCTGTGATTATTTCAAGCCCAAGATCAGTGTAGTTGCTGCTACCTATCAATTTCAGAAAACCCTGCAGAAGGAGGGCGAGTCTGCGATCATGTTCGCGGCTCGATTGAAACGGGCAGCCATGGACTGCAAGTTTGAAGCTTATCTCGACAGGGCCTTGCGTGACCAGTTCATCACTGCGATCGGTTCTACCAGCACGACGAAGGAAATCCTGGCGAAGGCTGAGGAGACGACAACATTTCAGCAGGTTGTCGACATGGCCACGGCTCATGAGACAGCTTTCCGCGAGTCTGAGAAGTTTTCAACGCAGGTTCATGCAGTACGCGGAGAGCCGGGGCTCGCCGACAACGCCACGTTCAAATCTGACAAGCCCTGTTTCCGCTGTGACAAGCTGGGACATCGACCGGATGAGTGCCACTTCAAATCTGCGAAGTGTCGTGCTTGCGGCAAACTGGGACACATCGAACGAGCCTGCCTAAAGAAGAAAGCGGCCAGGTCCGTCAAGCATGTCGGGACAACATCAAACCCCCGGTGAGCTTGTTCCTTGTAATGATTCTGTACCGATGTTGAATGTGAATGCCACAATGAGTGACAGAGCTGTAGCACCGTACACTACGCCTGTCGAGCTAAATGGGGTCCAGGTGCACTTGGAAATTGATACCGGTAGCACCGTCACACTGCTAGGAAAAAATGATTTTCTGAAATGCAATGGCTCCGTGTCTGAGCTGGTACCGTCCAGCATCACCCTATCTACATACACAGGAAATCCAATCAAATGTCTGGGTGAAATCGAAATGAAAATGGCTTTGGGTGGTGTAGAGGAGAATGTTCTGGTCAGAGTTATTGAATGTGATGGTCCTTCTCTCTTAGGCCGGGGTGTCTTGTCCAGATTTACTTTGCCATGGAAATCTATATTCAAAGTGGGCACTGGCGGGCAATCCACTACCGATTTCGTTAAGAAATACCCGAATCTGTTTGACAACTCCACTGTGGGTACGGTGCAAGGGGTGCAAGTAAAGCTGCACGTGTCAGATGAACAACCGGTCTACAAACGAGCAAGACCAGTACCTCTAGCAATTCGACAGCGGTACATCGACGCGTTGAACAAACTCGAGGCTGATGGGGTGATTGAGAAAGTGACGCATTCCGAATGGGCCTCACCAACGGTACAAGTAGAGAAACCAGGAGGAGGATTACGGATTTGCGCAGATTACAGTGGGACTATTAACAAGCATTCAGAATGTGAACAGTACCCACTCCCCACCCTCGAGGAATTGTTGCACAAGTTGGGCCCGGGAGGGAAGTTTACCAAACTCGACTTGTCCCAAGCATACCACCAGCTAGAGGTAGCACCGGAAAGCAGGAAATACACCACCATCAACACAATTCAGGGCCTGTACCAGTACAAACGCTTACCGTTTGGTTTCCACAGTGCCGTATCCATTTTCCAAAGGGTAATGGAAGAAACCTTGGTTGCGCTACCAGGCAGCGGCGGGTACATTGATGATGTGCTGTGTACCGGGGAAAATGATGAAATCCATGAGGAAAACGTGGACCGGGTACTCCATCGACTGGATGAGAAAGGTTTCAAATTGAATCCGGAGAAATTCTGTTACATGGCTGAGGCACTCTCTTACTTAGGTCACACGATCAGTGGGCAGGGCGTCTCCCCTTCAACAGCCAGGATACAGGCACTGAAAATGGCCAAACCACCACAGAATGTTGCCGAATTGCAATCTTTCATCGGTTCTGCAAATTTCGTGCGGAAGTTTGTGCCTCATTTCGCAGAAATTGCAGCTCCTTTGTACGACCTCTTGAAAAAGGGTGGGAAATGGCACTGGGAGACCACTCACGAGCAAGCTTTTGGCAAATTGAAAGATGCTATGTGTTCAGAAGCCCTACTGGCACACTATGATTTACAAAGGCCAACAGTGTTGCAAGTTGATGCTTCGGGAGGGGGCCTTGGCGCAGTCCTACTGCAGAAGCAGGAGAATGGCGAATTACGACCGATCGCATTCATGTCGCGTAAGCTGACCCCAGCAGAGTCACGCTATGCTCAAATTGAAAGAGAAGCATTGGCTGTGGTGTTCGGAGTGACCAAATTTCGCCAGTACCTACTCGGTAGAGAGTTCATAGTGGTCACTGATCATCGGCCACTCTTGAAGTTACTGGGAAATCACGAGGATGTCCCCACTCTCGCCTCTAATCGAATCAAGAAATGGGCATTGCAACTGGCGGCATATGATTACGAAATGCAGTATCTCGCGGGGAAAGAAAACGTCCATGCGGATTTTCTCTCGCGACAACCAATGCAATCTGTGTTACCGAGCGAGGAGGAGACCGTCACGGTACAGGTCTTGCTTATCGAGAATGACTCAATAATCAAAGCAGCTGTGGTGAGAGCAGAATCGGCAAAGGATTCTGTATTGGCTAAAGTAATTCGCTATACGGTTAATGGGTGGCCTGCTGAAATTGAGGAAGACCTCAAGGCATATGCTAGCAAGAGAATGGAATTGTCTGTGGAGAATGATATCTTGTTATGGGACAACCGGGTGGTGATTCCTAACTCACTTCGAATGCTCTTGCTACGAGATCTGCATGCAGAGCATTTTGGCATGGTGAAAAGGAAGCAAGTGGCCCGGCGCTACTTGTGGTGGCCCAATATTGACCAGGATATAGAATCTAAAGTCAATGCGTGTTTGCAATGCCAAGAGAATGCCAAATGCCCATCGGCAAAACCCGGTGTTTGGTCATGGCCGACGGGTCCATGGAAACGGATACACATTGATTTTGCCGGGCCATTTCTGGGAAAAATGTTCTTGGTGGTGGTAGATGCTTACTCTAAGTACTTGGATGTAATACCCATGGCTCATGCAACCAGTGCGACCACGATTTCTGCTTTACGCCATCTGTTTTCTGTGTTTGGTTTGCCTGAGCACTTGGTTACAGATAACGGCAGTCAGTTCACGAGTGCGGAATTCCAGGCGTTCCTGGATGGCAATGGCATTCTACACACAACAACGGCACCAGGTCATCCAGCAACTAATGGCCTCGCCGAACGCTACGTTGGCGTCTTCAAGCAGAAGATGAAAGAAATGTCGAATACTGGTGAACCACTCAACGTCAGGCTCGACCGGTTTCTCTTAGCGCATCGAACAACGCCGACCACCAGTGGGAAGACGCCGGCGGAGCTGTTAATGGGCCGGCAACCGAGAATCCGGCTCAGTGCATTGCGGCAGTCTGAGAGTCATCGGCAGGTCAAGGTGTACCAGGAGAGCTTGACTACGCCAAAGTTTAACACCGGTGACGCTGTGTTCGCCCTGAACTTTGGTCGTGGAGCAACTTGGGTACCAGCTACTGTAGTGCATGTCCACAGCCCTCACAGTTTCGGAGTACAGGTGGATGATGTCATCTGGAAGCGCCATAGGGACCAACTAGGACCGCGGGCGGTGCAGTTTGGCCAAGTACCCGTTTCGTCTTCTGCGGACCAGGCGGTCGCACAGCTGCCTACACCGACCAGTGACCCGCCGACAGTGCTAGATTCTCCTCTACCACTTCCGGACGCTAGCAGCAACAGTAGCACTGTCAGGCCGGATGATACGCTAGCCCCAGCAGCAGACGCCGTTGGAGTCGAGACGGCTCCCAGTGTTGTTGCACCGGCACCCTTGCGTCGCTCCGACCGACATGTCTCCGCGCCCAAGCACTTGATTGAGAACTGCTAAGTATCCGTACTATTGCCTTTGAGTATGTATTGCTTGTCCTGTTACTTTGATCTGATGCGGCCTGAGTGTAGGAAGTGGACATTTCTGGGCCAGATGAATATTCTACATGTAGGTCATGACGAACAGTCTTCACATAAGATTGTTTTCGTTTAATTCATTGAAACATTTGCATGGTTCCTTTTCCGATCTGATCTAATTCCCCAACGCTATGCAATATTGGCTGACTTTATCTGTCATTCCTACCTCGATCTATAGCTCAGCTCTCATGGACTATTCTGGAAGCTGCAGTAACTGTTATAAGTATATGTGTGCAATGTTTTTGAACTTTTTTGCTTTTGTATTATCTGGCCGTTGTAGTGTCAACAGCTATATCTGTCGGCGCCAAATTTGAGTGCCTCTTTGCTTATGTTATAATTTTACCCCGGGAAAAATTCTTGGGGGGCGATTGCTGTGTACGTGATGTGATAAGGCGCGCATGCGCGCCTGGGCTCGTGGCTGGTTTTGCATGCTTGCTGTGCTGGACTAGGTCCGAGAATGTGAGCTCTCTTTTCCTTGTCTTTCTGTTCCTTGATTATTACAATAACTGTACGAACCTGAGTAATGCTGTGTGTGGGCCCTTAGGGCCAGACATAACATGCGGCCAACTACCCACCACTTTGTGTGTTGTCGCTATTGCTGTCTATGTCTCTGTGTATGCCAGTATGTGTGGAGCGAGAATCTAGAAGTTAATGGAAGAGGGAACAGAGCTAGAGCATTTTCGTCTTTTGTCTTTAGTTCGTAGCCTATCCATTGCCCACTCCCAGTGAGTAATGTGCAGGTGGGCATTGACCTTCTCTTTGAACATCTGCGATTCTTTCCTTGTTCACGGGTTCAGCAGAACACACTGCGGGAGCTGGTCCCAGACCTCCACAACATGCTGAGGGAAGGACGAAAGTACATCATTCCGTTCTCTGAGGGAAAGAGTGGGAGTGAGCTGAAACTGGTGTGATGAATGCAGTTGGGTGCTATGGCTTGATGCGTTGGTAGTTCAGGGTGGAAGACGGGCGAGGAGCATATCTGGGCCAGTTGAACAATGGAGCTTGTGCAGAAAGAAGAAAGCAGAGTGCTCCAAGCGTTCTGTGAATGCCTAGGCTAGGGAGGTTTTTTTCTTTCTTTTTTATTTATCAACATTGATCACGGCTCTGGGGAAGAGACAAAAAAATGCATAGTGGGAGCATTGATGGCGAGGCTTTCTGCCCTCAACCGACCTGAGGTCTCGACATCATGGGGACATGTTGTTGTTGTGTTTATTTTACATAAAACGTACCAAAAAGAAAGAAGAAGAAAAAAGAAAGAAATGACAGGTAGCAATTTCAAATTTGGACTTCACGGAGAATTGCAAAGTATTATAAAATCAGAGGCCACATGCCACGTACTGCCACGTACTGCTCTTTTCTCTCCGAAACTCAACACTTGCAAGCCAGATATGAAAGACAGAAAAAATCATCAGTCACACCACCGAGACTCGAACCAGGGACCTTGCTATTCGCGAGCAATGCTCTAACCTACTGAGCTACAGTATGACTCTTATCCACAGTGATGGTCAATCTATCGTTCTTCGATCAATCCATATCTGGCTTGCATCACACTGACAGGTACAGATACATGATACTAAATGTTACGATGAGAGACAGTACATTAGAAGGTGGGGAAAGATAAGACAGAGAGTGTTAGGAGGAGAAGGAGAGAAAAGAAGGAAACACGTTATTGGGAGGAGTACGTGGAGCGGAATTTGAAAAAATCATGGGGTGAGGCAGATATGATGCTGATACTCAGAGATGATCATGTGCCCACGATTAGTCATTATTCTACAAATAGCGGTTGGCTGCAACTTTGAAACGTTGTAAGTTATTGGTGCAAAATGGACCAGAAAAGACTCCGACGAGCAGCTGGTTCCAGACCGGGAAAATTGCGCGAGGGTAGGCTCGACACAGGTTGTTGCAGGAAGGGAGTGGAATTTCATTTGCCAGTTGGTGTGCGTGGGTGGGTCTTCAAAACGTACTACGGGTGGCGTGGACTGTTTGGGATTGGGGCTGTGGGGTGGCAACATTCTCTGTAGAAGGCGATGTGCATATGGACAATGCATATTGTACAGGAGGCGAAGGTAGGGTCCTCGCCGATTGGCGATGGCCACCCTGTTGGATGGGGCGAGCCAGAGTGGTTTGTGCGCGGGCGGACAAAGCGCTTGTAGATCAAACAATGACACCTGGAGTCCAGCACTCGAGAGGGATTCCAGAGGAATAATAAAAAATAGCAGAGATGCTGCGATCCTCGAATAGCCAACTTGGAAACATATACCAGATCTCTTCAAGATATTGGACTTACGAGCACGTTCGAGGTGACGCAAGTAACTCATTATCGTTTTCCAGGCTAATGAAGCTAAGCTAAACCTCCAGCTCTTCAACAACATTCTAAAAACTAATGGTTTCGCGATAAACTTCTGTACCTTCTCCTCAGGTGATATACAAGGAAGAGCAAACAAGAGCAATTACAAATACAATGAATTATGAACTCGGATGGCGAGCTAATAAAATTTTGGTGAAAAAAGAGAAGGACAAAAATTAATGTTACGAGTTATGACTAACTGTTCATCAACCACCATTTTGTCGCACTCGCTGACTGTATAAGATCTGGTTACGTTGGTGGACAGTTAATCATAACTTGTAACATTTTGTCCTTCGCTTTTTTCACCAAAGTTTAATTGGCTCACCATCCGAGTTCAACTTTGCACACCTGATGAGACGTCATGACATATACGGCAAAACATATTTCGTGTGGAAGAACTTGTTTTTGTACATAACTCGTCCATCACATTTACATGATAGTGGAGTTCAGTAGGATATTGACGTTTCGGTTTGAGACAATTTGTCTTTGGTTAGCTTCCCCTTTCTATGTTTATTACATAAACTTGAGCCTCCCAAGTTGGGTGGTCAGTTGTTTTGCGTCGTCGAGTTGTAGTAAGGCCGGTATGTCCAAGAGTCTTACTATTTTCGCCATCATCCAGTAACTTTAGGCATTTTTGTAGCCGTGGCACGTAGCTCGTGCTCTTCTTCGTTGTGCTTTCCTCTGCACCTTGGAGAATTTTTGGAGCTAGGAGTCACGTCGCCGAATGTCTCAGTACTCCTTGTCAGTTTTGTGCCATTTTGTCGCACTTGCTGACTGTATAAGTTCTGGTTACGTTGGTGGACAGTTTGTCATAACTCGTAACATTTTGTCCTTCTTCTTTTCACAATAATTAATTATAATTCATTGTTCTTGCTCTCATTTGCTCGTGCCGCTATATCACCTTGGTGATGCGGAAGGAGACAATGTACGGGAGAAGGAACGTCACGACATGAAGAGAAGGCACGGAAGTTTACTCCCAAAAACTATTTAACTGCTTAATTCTTCTTTCTGCTCATACAAAACGAGAAAGCATCAGGGATAATCTGACTTACATCATTCTTTGGTTCTAACGAATGTCCAGATTTAAGTAGATAATCTACTACGGAAACATGACCATCTTGTGCTGCAATATGTAATGGTGTGTCACCATCCTGGAAGTAGCAGCAACAACAAAGAAAAACCATGTCCACATATACCCACGAGCATATACATGTTGATGCACACGCACACATGAACGCACACACATACTCATGCATGAACGCTCACACACACACACACACACACACACACACACAAACACACACATCCAAAAACACACGCATAAACATATACACACACCTCATACCCCAGACCTCAGACCTGCCCAACACAGAAGCAATGATAGCGAACAGCGACGTTAGACACAGCAAGTAGTGCTGGGATTGCACACACACAAACACACACATACACACACACACACACACACACACACACACACTTGTCCTGTCCTGTCCTGCAGAGCCACTGACACAGGGGTCACGTGGGCCCCGGAGGGTCATCAGAGAGGAAGATGGAGCACGCAGCCTGATGACGCCGGAGATGGTGGGGCAAACGGAACCGGCGAGAACACACGCATACATGGCTGAACTAATTACGCTGCTGGGCAGTCGGGCGCGGGCCAGTCCTCGAGCACCAGTGACGACCGCGGCCTTGCACAGACCGAAAGCATCGGGCTCACACAGCACAGTGCGCAGCACAGCAGGCATCCTGCACATAGACTTGCCGGGGCTCGGGAGGCTGAGGCTGAGGTGCGGAACAGCGGTGAACTGCTAGACCACCCTTGCTGCGAAACCAACGCCCACAATCTCCACAGTGGCAAGCCCCTCGCTGCTCAGCAATCGGCTTCACACACACATACACACACACACACACACACACACCTTGACCTTGACCTTGATCTTGCCCATTGCGTATGCAATGATAGAGAATGTCGTAAAGTTCAAGTGAGAACGCGAGCGCAGAACTTGGCATGTCGTTTCAGGTCTCCTGGTCGACGAAACGGGCGACCACAGACACAGAGAAGAGGATCAGGAGCGGGCTGTGGCGGCGGAGTGCTACTCGCAACTCGTCTCCAGCCGGGACGATCTTGGCAACTGTCAAGCCAGGTGGTCATGCCGATGACTATACTGATGACTATCGTCTATGTCCGATTTCTTAACTGTGGTGCAACTGCTGGCGATTATATACCCCGTTTTATTTCAAAAGTCAAACTGCAAAAATTTTAATGACGCTTAGGTGGTAATTTAAAACTTGATGTAACCTTTTCTCAATTTTTTCTAAAACAAAGCGAAGTTCGCGTACATCTGCGCAATTAACGCATCCAGTCAAGAAGACATTTCACATGAGGTTGAAGTAGAATAGTTCGCCTCTTTCTCCACAAGTATTATTTTGATACTATACTGCACGACTATTTATTGCTTCGAGTTATAGATTTGAATTTGTACGTCGTGTTCTTCGTTTGAGACTTTGTTTACCGTTCTGTTCTTCTATCAATACTCTGCATTCTCCGCGCCTGCTCTGTTCCTTTCTTCTCTTGC